CTTCCAACCTCGACCATTCTGGGATTCTGTGATTTTTTTCTGATCTGCAAACCCTGAATACGAATTGAAATCTAATTCCTGGAGCAGTTGTAGAGAATATTTACTTGTAATGTGCTTTTATTACGAGAATCGCTCCATGCATACTATCACTCTTCCAAAGGAGGTTTTCTTATCCTTCAGCTTCTTGTAATTCCATCATGTCACTGTGGGATCACAAGAGTGCAGAGTGTACACTAAATGAACTAAAAATCAGCTATGCCCTTTCCTAGRAGTCTAGTAGTGCATTATAGACATATACTGTGATGTGGCAGAGGCAAAGGAACAATTTGAGGATTGTCTTCGTGTTTTCTTAAATTTTTATTTCAAGATTAGCAGGGTTTGTGTTGCTGAGCTTCAATTACAGCATGCTTAGTATACTCTAGTGAGAATAAAATTCATTTTGGCATCAAAAAATGAAGAAAAAGCAGCAGCTTCCCTGTTCAGTGAAAAATCTAGAGTGTCTTGAGCCATTTGTGCATGACCCTGTGGCTCTTGCAGCTCTCGAGCTTTGAAAGTGCAAAGCTTTCCACCAGTCTGGGAACAAGACAGGAATGTCCATCTCTTTGTATGGAACTAGAAAGTACCTGGTGCAAGTCTGYTGTCCTGTTTTATGGCCCCAGGTATCGTCAGATGCATTTGTTGCAAGTTCAGCAACTTGAACCAACCTCATTTAAAACCATGGGCTCCATTACTTGCTTATTAAAGTGAGTTTCAGCTTATTCAAATTTTAGGTTACAGCTGCACAGCATGTTCAGTCCAAACTCAAGCTACATATAAATATTTTCTATGTTAATTTAAGACTTTGGAGTCTGTTTACTATAGAAAAATTGTTATGGGCACCCATATACTGCACTAATTTCAGTGCAACAAGCTAATTATAAGTTGATGTCATATGGCTAAAAAAAATACATGTTTATTCCTTCTGTGTTTTGTGATGCTAACTTTCTCAGCCACATTTGCRGAGCTCACACACAATGTGTTTTCTGGGCTAGAACCTGACTGGATAGAAATGATATTCTTATTTGTGCAATTTGTAATTATATTGTTGGATCCCATTCAAGACCTTTGGGATCCTGAGGATATCAACAGGATATTTGTGCTTCCTGTACATTTATCTGTCATTGAACTATATACTCTTCAGCAGAATTGTGTTTTTACAAGATAAAGAAATAAAGTAGGCACAGTGACAATTTATTGTAAGTTAATATGTGGCTGAAAAAGCGCATTTATTGTCTATACGAACTGGGAAAAAAAAAGGGGTGTGTGTGGAGGTGGGGGGACAAATAACTGCTCATGCTGAAATGCAGAAATACACTGAACCCTGCTGGAAATGCAACTTTATTTTATTTTATTTTTTCTTTTTGCCCCTCTACATTGACGATTAGGGCAGCTGTCCCCTCTAGCCAAATAAAGGCAGAATCAGTGATATATTACTGCTTATAGCTCAGTAGCACCTAAATAATGTACCATTGTGCTGTTTTATTGCAAACATGCTCATGCAGAAATTTACGCTTGCCTGAAGAGTTCGTAGTCCTGAAGAAAGATTATTTAATGCCCATATAAAAGGAGTGTGCAAGAGGTCTCTGCTCCTTACAGCTCCTCCCTCCCTGCTGGAGTGCATGTTACCAGTAATATCTCACTTGAGGTAAGGCAAACCAGAAAAAGTGKTTTTTTTTGTGTTTTGGGTTTTTTTCCTACTTATTTCCCCTGTATGCAGTACCAGCCCTTTTTTCCCTTTGGAAATAAGTGGAAGTGCATAGATTTGATGTGAAGGATAAACAGAAACRTTCTGCAGGCACTGCAGTGAGCTCACTTGCAAAGCCCAGGTCAGAGATGTGCACATCCCCTAACCTATAAACATGCTTTCAGTAAATGCTGATGTAGTTTATTGGATTAATAAGGCTCCATAAATTTCTGTCCTGTTATGGAGCACTGCTAAAAGCTATAAGTAATACGTAGTAAGCGCAAGCTGAAATGATAAACATCTTGTTATTAAAGAGTAAAAATAAATAAAATCCCACATGGTCTATTTGAAAAGAGCCCATGATGGGGTAGGGCAGGGGCTGAGGACAGATGTAGCAGCCACCACTGTAAAAACTCCCATTTCAATATTCCCTCTTGTTGGTAGAATAGTTCTTTTTCCTCTTCCTCTATAATAACCCAGATTGGAAAAGAGCTGCGTAGAGGGAGGTTTGCCAGGTACGTTAGTGAAGCTGAAGTGCCCCTGCACACAGCTTACCTGTTCCACCTCTCCCCGGTGGGAAGAGACCGGTGGGAAGCAGCTGTGATCAGGATGGGCATTGAGAGAAATACAGTCCGAATGCCCGAGGACACCTTGTCTATTGACATTCCTGTTAGAGCTTTTACACATGCAAGGGCCAGTCGTTATCTCCTAAGTCAGTCAGCTGCAAGAATTGGGCAGCACAAATCTTGTGCACTTCTGCTAAGACATCTGCATGGTAGGGTTTCTTTTTTTCTTTTAGAAGGGCAGATCTTTAAGGCAAAAAACTTTGGGAGAAAGATAGTAGTGGTCCAGCTGCAGCAAGCCCTACGCTTTCTGGAATATACTCCCTGTGGTGTCTAGAATTCGTAATGAAGTTCAAGATAAAGTGGGGTAAATCTTTTTACTGGCTTATCATGGCCAACATTAAAAAAGAAAATCCTGTAACTTCAGGTGCCAGTGAGACTGTGCACCAGCTTTTCACAGGAACTGAAATGCCTTGTTTTCACCGACTAAAGAAGTYCTTCCAAGTGTTCATTCTGAAAATTAAGTCTCAAATAGCTAACATCAAAAATGAATCTGGAAAATGATATTCTACATAGTCGTCAGAAGTTTGTGATAGGTTTGTCTATGAGGCTTCAGCTAATAGAGAAAATAGAAAAAAAGGTCTTTTGCTGATGACTGTCTTGGAGAAACTATTTATCTTAGCAGTATTTAGAGACCTGTGCATGGCATACATTCCCAACTCACTTTTCCCTGATTTAATATCTTTCTTTCTTAAAGAAAAGTTGCATTGRTAGTTCCTGCAAAGGGGCAAGTGTTGTCCATCTTTTCTTTTTATTTTTCCTTTTTTTTTTTCCAGTGAGAGAAAATCTGAAGCAATTTGAAAACTCCTGGCCTTTTTGCATATTTTGGTGGCTTTATCGGTCTACAGTTTTATCAGCTCTGAACGTCTGAATCGGGAGGTGTCACTGGGAAGAGGAGGGAACTGGAGTTTATCTTTCTCATGAAAGGAGAAGAATGAAATGGCTTTTAGCTCTGCAGCTGCCCAGCATGACTTACTGTGAGAAACGTCTTGCACTGGAATGAGCAGGTTGAGGATGCAATTTCTGAAGCAATATGTGTGTTATTAATTGAGAATTAAGGAACCCAGCATTCCCTAGGTGAGAAATGCACTTTCCTGGCCAGAGCCAAGCCCCAGATTGTTCAGTGATTCACAGGCTTTACAGCAAACCAGCTTTGTATCTTGGCTGAAAATCAGAGAGTCTTCCTAAAATTAATCAATGTTGCTGCTTTATTAACAATATAGATAAAATTTCAAGATAACAGGCTAATATTTTTAAAGTAGTACTAATTCTCATCATCTACAAGGAAAAAAAAGTTGCATAAATAATTTCTGAGAAAAAAAATAAATACATAATTAATTCTTTGAAACCATAGCTTCTTTCTCCAGATTCTGGTTCCACATAAAATAATTGCAAAATTTAGCAACAATGGAAACTTCCTTAGCTTATATGATTTTAGCATAAATTCTACACAGAAAACAGGAACATCGAGGTACCATCTTTACCCCAAATTATGTTAATCTGGTACTAGGCTTAGCATTTCTATAGTATATATACAGCAGGTGAATATTCACTTTCCAATAATATTCTTTAATGTAAAAACTCTAGTCTGAATGTTGAGAAGCTAAGTAAAGGAAAGTTGCTGTCAACCTAAACTGTGCATACCAAAGACTTTTCAAGAGGAATTCATGGCTTTCCAATTAGCAGAGGCTCACTTTAATGCAGAACTGGCACTTTACTCCCACAACTTGGCTTGCCCAGACTTGGCACTAAAATGTGTATGGCCAGATGATCTAAACTCTGTGGAATATAAAATGCAATTGGAGGTGTCTAAGTTGATGCTAARATCAGTCTTTTTTTTTCAGGAAATAAAATACAATCAGTAACTTTTACATCAAAATGCTGCATGTCATTAACTGTTTACAGGTCACATTTCATAAATCTCCACTGAGCTGAATTGTCCCTAAAAATAATCTGACGTTTGAGATGTCAAACGACAGTCTTGACTCTGTCAATCTTGCAGTGTTCTAATTTAAGATATGAAATAGATTTATTACACATTTGTTCTGAGAACGCCTGTCACCTTTTTTTTGCATGATTTTCCTCGGGGGAAGCAGTTGGGGCATAAGGACATCTGACACGATCTTAATTTCCTAAAAACATAACTTTTTTCACCGTAACGATGGAAATCTCTGCTCTCGCTGACTTTATTCCATTCATTCAGAGTGGCAACCCTCCCGAGGGCTTCCAAACCACACGTTTGCCCTGCGCTGTGGTGCTTGGAGAAGTTGGAAAGGAACATTGTCATTCCCGTCACATAAAGTGAGTCAAATGACTTCTGACAATGCGTGCTGGTGATTGTCACCCTGACACTCCTTTCCTCTGCCTCCCTCCAAGGACAAGCCACGGGACCTCATGCAATTCTCCAAGGTGTACCTCGCTCCAACTGAACTTAAGAGCTGCTACCCCACCAACTCAGTTTATCTCATTCTCTTATCAGACCATAACTGTCACAATCTGATAGGTTTTGGTCTATATGAGCCTTAGATCCAGCTTAGCAAGAGGGCTTGGAAGCTCCTGCAGCCAGAACCCCATTGGGTGGCCTGTGAGTGCCATTGGATGTCCCATAAAATATCCAGAGCTGCCGGGCTGCGTCACTCACTCGGAGACACAGTCTAATAGGCATTTTCTAGCTCAGGCTGGTTGGATTTGCTGCTCCTGGCTCTGGACAGACGGGGCTTCTTGTTCTTCTGGGGCCTGCCATTCTCCTTGCCAAAGTCCTTGAGCTCCGACTGGTTGTGGTAGCGAGTGTAGCGCTTGCATTTGCAGGCGGTGACCGCTCGGAATTTGTAAGTCCGAGTCTCCTGCTGGGGACAGGCCATCTGGACGCGCTGCGTGCGCGTGTGAGCGGGGATGCAGCGGTAGTCCAGGGCGTTCTGCCGCCACCACTTCCCTCGGCCGATGGAGTTGGGGAGGAGGTGGGACGGGACGCACTGGCCCGAGCAGACCAGCTCCTTGACGGGCTTCAYGCTGCGGCAAGGCCCTTCAGTGACATAGCGTGTGGTCCGCATTTCCCTGCAGCTAAAGTCAGAAGCATCTGCAAACGAGAAAGTAGTTAATTAAGTGCCTCCTTCCCCCTCCTTGCCAAAGCTTTTTCGTTCCTGTAGCATATATCTAGCTCTAAGCTTGGATGACAGATGCTGGGAGGGGTATCTGCAGAGACCCATTCTTGTAGCCTGTGGGGTTTGGAGCATCCTAGTCATGAGATCCTCGAACTGGATCCTTGGAGTGGATCTTCTGACCAGTAGTCTCAACAGAGGCAGGGCCTTTGAGAGAGTTCCGTTGTGGTTCTGCTGGTTTCATCTACCTTTTTGGCAAAACGTTTCACCATTTACTCTGGTTGAATTCAATTAACTTCAGAGGTTGAGGTTGACTCCCATATTTACAACTCTTTAGGAAGACAAAACGCATGCCTTAAGTGATCTATAACTAGCATAACCAGTGGACATTAGAAAATACATGTTTAGCCTTAAGAATGTAGAAAATCTTTCCATTTGTAGGCATAGWACTTTTCCTTAAATAATGGGATATTTGGATGGAAGAGGGCAACTACCAAAGTGGGTCTCTTGTCAAGCAGGATGTTTTGCTAATTGATGCATTTGGAAGTGACAGAGGTTCACTTTTTTAGGGTGTCTATCAAAGAACTTCATCTAGATAAACCCCCCATCCTTTCTCCCCAGATAATGCCAGAAGTAGTTACCGGCTAGAAAATCAAGGTATTCAAATGTGGTTACAAAATCAGCCTGTTTTGACAGGCATCAGGTGGAGATGCCTGTGAGAAGCAGAGTTCATTCTTTCTTATTTAAGAACCTTGTGATATGGTACACTCAAAACCATTTCATTTTTGTTTCTTTCTTTTAAAATGCTGCTGATTCTATGGCTTTAAGCCCCTGATAGCTGTGGCAGGACACARTTCCCTTCCATTTGTCTACAGAAAACGAAGTCTAGCTCCAATGTGCAATGTACAATAGTGTGGACTGCAAGTTTGACTTGTTGCCATGTACCTTTGGCAGGCAAACATATCAGACCAGAGCAGTGAGTTTGGCTTATTTACCAACAGAACTCCTTCTCTCTTGCTGCTAGCCCCCAACTCTCCTCATGAGGTTCTGCATCACAGCTGGTGCCAGACATTTGTCTAAATACAGTGATATCATCTTAGGAAGTATGTGAGTAGGCTTAAAGTAGTCAAAGCGTTCCCATGAATCGCACCTCTGCAGAACAGTGAGAGGCCCTTCCAATTCATTTGAGCATAAATTCACCTTGGAAGTGCTTTAAGTATTCCTAACAGCTTGTCCTAGCTGAAGATCACGCTACTGTTGGCAAAGTGCACCCTGCTCTGGTCTACCTCAATGCAGGTAAGTCAGCTCCAGGTGACTTTTTCATTGTGTGATCTTCAAGACATCACTAGTATGACTCTTCCTAAATATTTAAGGATTCTTATTAGCTCTAATCCCAAACCATTTCCCCATCCTGACTTCCAAGAGAGGAATAAGACCTGTGATACTTGGCAAAATGCTTGCACATTATACTGGGAAATTCAAACCATGGCTTACTGCTGCTTATCTTACATGTTTAAAAGCCAAGTTTTTCCACAGTCCTGGAGTTCTGCCTGCAGATAGCATGGGTGCAGGACAGGAATGCATGCTGTAGCACCCAAGGGTGGTTCAACAGATAACCCACACCTTTTATCAGTCAACTCAGGTATGATCCTCCTGATGGTTGCATGGATCCTTCTTCAATAGCAGGTATAAATCCCTATCCCTCACAGCATTAGGTCCACACCAAGAGGTTTTAATAAATACCCATAGATGACAATAAGTATCCTCTCATAAACTGCCTGGTAGCATTTAAAACAGTAATAGAATGTTCTTTTTCTTACCATTAGGGTCTGGAGGCTGTTGGATGTGTCTTCCCCCATGCTTTGCCTGGTTCATTGTGTTGTTGTCACTGTAGGTCTGCTCCACYGGTGCTTCTGTATTTTCGGTGATCTCAGGAATGATTTCTGTAGCGTCATTTTTAAACATTTGCCACCCTTCTACCGACTGAAATGCAATTTGGATGAAGGCACAGAGAGAGCACAGAGCCCAAGAGATCTGCATGGTGGCAGCCCACAGACTGGCTTTTCAGCACCCTCTTACAGCCTCACATCCCAGGCAAGGGCAAATTATTGTCCTTTTTAAAATCCTTTTTAGGACCAAACCAGCCAATGGCTACACAAAGTGGGAAGGGCCAGCCAACTCATTCATCTAAGCTTTTGTCAGTATGAGTCAGAAATTAAATGGGTATGTGGGGGTGGTTTAGCAAAAAATATTATGAGCACTTAAAGACTTCTCGTATGCTTCATTTTTTTCTGCCTGGCAACAGTGCTGATTGACAAGACTAGGACGAGCTGCAGCCTAACAAGCCTTTCTGCAAATTTTTCTAATAATATTATAATTAAAATCTGCTTCTACCTCCATATTTGAAATGTTGGTTATTATTTTTTCAAGGGTTTTCAGATTAATTTTGGGGGACTAGTTTTCCTGTTTTGGTGCTTTTTTTCAAGTACAAAGTAAGCACAATTAGAAATTGTTCTTCAGTAGCCTTGCATTTGGGTTTCTGCAGGTAAATTACTGTGGCTTCATATTTTTATTTTGTTTTACAAAACAAGGTTCCCRGTATTTTGTTTCATAAAAGGACTAGAAGAAACAGGAAAGTTGTTTTGCTTAGTTTTAGAGCCAACCTTAAAATATCTATGCCCACTATGTGTTCATGGGTCATCTTATAAAWCTCATCTAGGGGATCTAAGATGATAATGCCTCAGGCCCATAAGTATTTCCACATTATTTACCAACAATATCAGGTAAAATACATTAATTAGAGTCTCTCACCTTTTAGCTAGATTAGAAACCGAGAACATGATAGCTGCTGAGAGCAAATTACTCGCTTATAGGAATAAAGACGTGCATGCAGCTGCAACGCTTGTCGCATACAGCTCATCCCTGGGAAAATATTTCCCGCAGAACAGATGCCAGGTGAAACACTGAACTCCAGCATTTTTTCACAATTAGCTGGAATGTCAATAACAGCCTCTGTCTCCTGCCCTCTGGTCTACCTGTCTGAACATTGCAGCCAGCCGGGGCCGGCTGTCTTCTCCCTTCTGCTCCAGGACTCATTATCCAAGGCTTACATTCCTCCCTGATAATTGCCCTGACCTGGCACCCAAAACAGGTGTCGCCAAATTTACAGCGAGGGGCATGTTCCCGCTTGGTATGACCCCCATGAAAAATAATACSAATAGCCATCCATTTCTACTGGTGACACGCAGAGCAGATGCAACCGTTTAAATCCCATTCAGAACTTGCACACTGCCCCGAAATGCAGTCTTTCACAAAGAGCAAGAACTTTCCTGCTTCTCGAGCACTTCTTTTCCCGCACGGCTGCTAAGCCAGCTTTGCCCAAATGACTTGTATTTGCTGAGCCATGAGCTGCCTTCTGAATACGTCCACCTGAAGGCTATGTTGCGAGCTCCTCTRAGAAGTCAAAAAGAAATGCAAGCTTAGTTTTCTCCCACCAGGGATAAGCAAATGTATTGATAACTCATTCCGATGACGTACCTTCATTTCTTTGTCTTTTTTCCTTTTTTTTTTGGATGATAGCAAGAAAAATGCATCAGAATCATTCAATAGCATCACTCGGAGATGAAATTATGACTATCTAGGGTAAAATGATAAGCATATAGCTCCATCTGGTGGGAGTCAGCTAGCCGGCTCCCTTGAGATACCGAAATTAAAATACAAAGCCTTATTTCAACTACTCAGGCACTATAAATCTGAGTTTATAGGSTTTCTTTCCAAAACAGAGGACCAGCTTGTCCAAAGGGTAAAAACTAGAGTCACTTAATGCTCATTCCGAAGTTATAAACAGAAATGCTTGTTTCTGCAGCAGATAAAAGCTGTATTTGAATTCAAGATGCCCCTATCACATTACTTGTTGTATTTGACAAAAAAGAGTCTTGCAACTCCAGTTTTTCATAGAAAACTCCCCAAAACAAAATCAAACCCCTAGTTTGCAATTACCGTCCTGGATTCCAAGCTGCAAATGCCATACACAGCATGAATTATCTAACATGGAATAAGGCTACAAATTCTCAGCAACAAATCCTTGGAAGCTGCCTCCGAGGCCTATTCTATTTTTAGTTTAGTCATTGGCAGAGCCCAGAAAGTAATTTTAGAAGAAACTTCTGTGCTATATTGAGACTCCATTAGGCAGTCGGTCTTAATTTTAATTTTTAGAGTCCTAAATTTTAAGATACAAACTCTTCACCTGTGTTTATATAATGGGTGACATTTGAGGTACAAAGTCAAATTATTTTAATGTATATATGGTCATTTTAGAGGGATTATTATCTAACCAGGCTTTCTTCTTTACTCCTTGTTATAAAATGATAATAACTCTTCCCTCCCTCTCCATGGATTTGACAGGCTGCATATCCTTGTTCTTATCATACAGGAACCCCATGCCTTCTCCAAAGCCCTATCTATGCAAAAAGGACCATGCTGCTATTTAGGATAAAGACATTAATATAAATCCAGACTATACTAGCTTTAATATAAAGGTGGAAATACCAAAACTGCAATGTTTCTGCTTGCCTATTGGTTTTAAAAGAGGTATTTCCCCAATCAGCATGCTTGCAAGGAACACCTCATTGTAAAAGGCAGCTACATGGCAAATTCAGATAAAAAAGCATCTTCTGACATTCTGCCCATGTCCGATTATAATGTCAGAAAGGTCTCATTCCTCTTCTTAAACAGTCTTTCCTACCACAGTAAGGAAAAGCCTAAGATTCAAATAGCATATGGTTATGGATTAGAGGAAGACAAGCTCTTCTTGGTCCACTAAAATAGGTAGAATAATTTGCAACCTTCTACTACTTAAACAGAAAAAAAAAGCTGTGTACAACCCATTAATGGGGCAGTGGCGTGAGACATCCTAACTATTTTTAGCCTGTTCTAAAGGCAAAGCTAGAAATGGCTTAGAGGCACCTATCAGTAACTCAAACTAGGATATGCTGTCTCAGAGCTCAGTTTAATTAATTTACGAGTGTCTTACTTCTGCCTCTCCCCCTCATATTACAACACGATTGTTAATTAAGCCTTCTTGTATGGAGATAAACTGGCCAGAGTATCACTGAAGTTACCACGAGAATGGCGCAGTGTGCTATGAATTAAAAGAGCACCTTGAACATATCAATATTTCCTTGTATTTCTCCATTTGTCTATATTTTCAGACAGTTCAGTGTGGACCGGTAGAACGACACAAAAACATCATAAATTTAACATATGTTATCTCATGCTAACAAAACTTATCTTTTAATCTGACTAAAACTAGTGGCATTTTTATATTTTTTGAGATAATAACAAAAATCTAACACCAAATAGTTTGTTGAGCCATTTATTGGACTGGAAGTCTTGAATGACAAGTAACAAATCAAAATCAAAGCCAGAGTGTTTGCATATGCATGTTTTTTTGTTTAATTTTTCCCTTTAGTATAGACAGGTGTTATGAATATATGCTGCAGGTAGAGAGAARAAAAGATATCTACGCCCATAGTAAAAACTAAAAAGCGTTGTATTGTTGTAGTATTATAGTGCTATGGAAAAGAGAAGGCAAGGATTCCTACTCCCCACACAGCATGACGTGAAAGAAATAACAACAAATTCTGGAGGAAAAGAAAAACAAAAGCCCTGTCTTCAAGCGGAAGATTTTTGAGTTTAATTTCAATAAAGTTATCTGATTAAACTGAAGACAAAACAAAACAAAACAAAACAAAACAAACTAAAAGTAAAATTGATCTATGTCCTTTGTGCTTAATGAACTGAACATACAAAACTGTGGAAATAGGGTTATATTAACACACAAGCGTTCCTTATTAAACAGTGCTGAATTTAAAATCTGTATCTACATTAAAGCACACATAAAAACTCCGTATAAACATCTCAGGGTTCTATTCGTTAAACTAAAGTCTCTGAGTTTTCTGTGGGAGGCTTTTTGGGTTAGGACAGTGCTACGCTAAGTCAGCCACGTGTTTACACACTAAGTCAGGTATAGATTTATGAAGCTTCTTCTCCCAACACCGTATTGATCATTTCATCTGTAGGTCAGACATAACCATGACTGCATTTATTTCATGAGAAAGGAAATGTTTGATAGCCTATATTGTCATGACGAGGTAATGGAAGTGTGCAAGCAATCCGACAAGTCAGTGTACTTCTACAAACTGCTTTGTAAGGATCTACGTGCTGTCCTACTGGAAGCAATCTATACATATGCTCATTTAGGTCAAGCTTTCGTGTTTAATAGAYGGTGAGGGTGAAAGGAGGCACTATAACCCAATACAAATCTCAGGAGCCCTTCTGTTTTCTTACTTATGACTTTACCTTAAAACTAGTCTAAGCATCACAGACATTCTTTCTTCCTTGCTGAAGTTTCTTCTTCAACATTTGCTCTTTATTTTCTTGCGTGATTTTAAAAATAAAAACGCAGTTCATATCAGACGACTTAATGGCACCCCCAAGAGCAAAAGACACAAATCTCTTTGGAAATACAATGTGATATTAACATGGGGCTCTGCATGTCTTCACTACAACCCTTGAAACCTCTGTGTATTACATATACCCACACTAAACACAAAGCTGTATACACAAAACTTCCCATAAGAGTGCATCTGTGCATTTGCATATATATTTCTGCATTCCACAAAGCTCCTGCATTCCGATTTTTAGGCACCTGTGCGCATGGAAGAGAAACTTTAGAAAATACAGTACTTTAATTAAAGAGTGAGAGCAGAAAGATGTGTTGGGGCTCTCAGAAAATGGGGTTGTGGTGGGATACACGACAAAGCTTAAATAAATCACCCTCGAGGTCAATGCAAAACACATCCATGGTAAGGTCTGCACGGGGCTCTGAAATGCATGTAAAAACAGCCATTATCATCAGAGCTACCCCTCCAAAGACACTTCTTCCTTGCAACAGCTCTAAGAAGTGAGAGATTTTCGTGCCATTTTAAGACCAGAGTTTGCAAAAGACACTTTCACTAGACAACAGCAGGAATTCTGCCTCCCTCCCGTTACGTGACCTAGCTTGGTAGCTGGGGTTTGGGGATCTAAAGCACCTAACACTTGGACAGCTTGAGAGTCTCCCCAAAAGAGCGTGCTGCRCTTCAGGGCTTGAGCTTGCCCTCCTTCACTAAGCGCTCGTTGAGCTGGCAAAGCTGCCGCAGAAAGCCGTCRTTGGGGCCGATCTCTCGCTTGTGCCGGACGGCGACCAACGCCGACTTGACATCCATGTGCTGGCGCAGCATGAGGTAGGCGATGACCAGCGTGGGAGAGCGGCTGTAGCCCTCGCGGCAGTGCACGAGCACCTGGCCTGCAGGGAAGACAACCACGGTTACACCACACCAGAGCAACCCGAACGAGGTATAGGATAGAAGGCWGTATCAGTCCTCCAGCAGCTCCTCTAAATTCGGAATGCTACCGAGGTTATAGAGAACTTGGAAGCAAGGTGCTGCCACTCTGGTAGCTACCCAACCTGTCATCCAGGAAAACACAGGAAAAAGTGATTTTATTTTAAAAGCATTCGCACTCAAATGAATTTGCTGCTATGTTGCAAAAATTCCAAGTGTGTCTATTTAGTACGCTTCTCCTTTCGCTGTGTTTGGAAATAAGCCTTGCTTATTTCATAAGTGGATGACCACTAGCAGCAAGCAAAAATAAAGGGCACACAGTTTAAAATACACTGACCTTAAAACAAAGAGTACAGAGGACTCTTTGCTGGCTGTTAAATACGACATCTCTTCAAAGATACTCAGTCTTTACGCTGCACTGCTGGTAGCTCCTGTGCTAGCGCTCCACATAAACACTTAAGTAAAGGAAAATGATGACTATGCAACAAGGAAAGGGGGCATTTCATCACGCTCACCAAAAAAATGCTTCCAGGAAACTGCCTGAGGAAATCATTCCACATATTTGTGGGGGTATCCAACAAAAATAAAACAGGCTATTTCTACCTCTAAGAAATCTGAGTCAAATCGATTCCTTCTCAGCTATTTCCTCTTTGACCTGCTTTGCCAGACATAAAAATGTTCCTCCCAAATGCAGCAGGAGATGTGGCCCCAGGCTAGTCTCCAGAGCAAATTATTTTGGGAGACAAGAGAACAGATGAACTATACACAGACATTTTCATGATATCCAGAGTTTGCTCCGAACCACGCCAGCAAAAAGCTCATTATCACATTCGCCTTGCTCTGCAGTCTTGATTAGAAGCAAGTTCAACAACAACAACAACAACAAAATCATTCTTAATATTTCCTGAGATCTCATAGCCATAAATTAACAGGATACATGGAAGTAAGCAAATATGTGGAAGAAAATTCACTTCCCCTCTGCAAATGTTCTGAAGCAAAAGGGTTTCTAGCCTCCCTCTGTGAGAAGCAGCAAGTTTTACCGCTGCCTTTAGTGAAACGAAAATGCCTTCATTTAGCCAGAACTTCACGAAATGCTAACCAAAACTGCGGAAGATCCTGCTGCACTCTTCTGAATCGCCCTTACTCAACCTTCAGCACTGCACAAAGACTATGGAATTTCAGCAGCGAGCTAATTTGAGCCTGGGAAGCTGCAACACTCCTCTTTGCCTGCCACGGTCAGGGCACAGCGGCGGGCGCCGTGGACAGCTCCTAAAACTGAAAAAAATCCACCAGAAAGAACAGTTAGAGCAAACCCAGAGCAATTCCTGACAGCCCAGATCAGCATGACGTATTATGAGCCAAACGAAGTTGGCTACCACTCTTAAACATTTCCTTCTACCTCTTTTAGAGGGTCACAAAGTTATCTAGAAGAGCTGCATTTTAATTTTTAGCTTTTTTTCACTGCTCTAAATTTGAGGTGTAACTTCTTTCCCTTACAGAAAGGAAAAGGCGGTTCTTTCCACCTTTTTGTTCATTTTGGAGAAATTCGGTTGTCTTTGATGTTCAGCCATGAGGCAAGAAATAAATTAAACACACACAAGTGGCATTCTTAGTCACTTATCCATAGAAGCACCATCTGGCCCACTGCACTGTGTCCTAGGAATTCTGCTCTGAAGAAACACATTGTAGAGAAATGGGGCAATCAGCAACATTGCAAATATGATCTCCAGCTGTCCTGCAACCTTACAGAATAGTGAGGTAATTGTCATTAAAAAAAATAAGCCTAACAACCCAATGCAATAAAAAAAAAATATAGGGCAACGGTCTCTAAACTTTTTCTACATTTGGAGAAAATTRGGAAAAAAACCCATAGCAGGTTGTGTGATTATTATTCACCTATGCTTTATCTATATTAAYTCTTCCTCTAATTTACAATTTCTAGTGTCCTAAAAATATTTTTAGACTCTACATTTGTTTTCTTGATTTTTCATGTGACTCACCCCCAACTAAAGTAAAACAAGACCATATGCTCCTAAAAAGCACTGTTTTAGGATGCAGCAGCTATTTCAGTCTYCAAAGTTATTCCTGCAAAGCCAAACTTCCATTTGCTATAAAGAGACACATTTATAGACTATAGATTAAGATGCTTTACTGCATATTCAGGCATCTTTGATCCTTGGACCTGATCTGAATTCCCGTTTTGTTTGTTGAGTCAGAAATCCGAGGGAAGAACATAGTCCTGTATTTCACTATTTACAAAGAAAGGTTTGCARTGCATGAAAATGAGGACAGAAAGTTTGCTTTACCATCCTTCTGGGAAAGAGCTTTCTCAATAAAATCAGCTGCCTCCTCGAAATAGCGGCTGAGGTTAAATTCCTGGGTATCATTAGCTTTGATGCCGTGGTATCTGATGCCGGTGCCTTCGTAGAACTCGGCATTCGTGTTCACGTGCATGAACGACTTCCCCTCTGCCGCGTTCAGAACGTGGGTTATCCCCAGATGCTGCAGCTTCGGAATGTCCTTGGCTATGAACCTGCAGGATATGAAAGGCGTCAAGAAAACTATTAGGTCTTGGTAAATCACTTTGGTCTTTATGAAGTTCCCACAAGCTACTGATAATAAAACCTATGATTTTCCTGTTAATAGATACCAAGTATACTGTGCTCAAAACTAAATTATATACTTGCAGAAATATTTATAGCCATGATTATTTAAGAAACAAATTTAACATAATTTAACCAAATTTAACCTAATTTAATTTTAAAACTTAATTTAAAAGCCTCTATTGCCAGCTACCCACGTTCCACAGCTAGGAAAGCAGTACTTGCAACTCTAGCAGACAACACAGTGAGAAAGACATTTTATCTGAACTTAGGCTTTCTTCACAGTATCCAGGATGGGCAGTTTGATAGTCTTGTTCCTCCTCAAAAAAAAAAAAAAAAAAGAAAAAAAGCATATAGGGAGCAATTGAAAAAAAATGTGAAACAGCACAGGTTCCTTCTCATCCTTCTCTGTGTTCCTGATAGGAACACGAATGTAACTATCAGGAATTATTCCTGCATCTTCAAAGGTCTGCTCTGAGGACTCCTGCAAGGTGTAGTCCTCTGTCCCTGTCTTATTCAACATCCCTGAAGCCCTGGAAACATCTGGCAAGAATATCCAAAGAGCAGCAGGATAGAAACATAATTCAGTCTTTGTCATTTTAGTTCTCATTAAAAGTGTCCCTACAATGATTAGTGACCTTGCAGAAATCAATATGTGAATGGAGAGTAATTTTGCTTTTAAAGGCAGTTTTTGCTGTATGTTTAACTGAATTTGGAAACAGAAATCTTTTAGCAAAGCTCCATAAAGCTCAAGCCCTAAACTGCAAATACAAGGAATATGAACACTAAGCAGAACTCCAGACAAGCATATATATATAGGATCCTTTTGCACAAGTTTAGAAGAGATTTTAAGATACCTGAGGGTCTTGGTTGTACACTTGGCTATTCCAAAACAAAAAAGCAAAAAAYAYCCATATTAGTYAGGTTATATTTAGAYGCRTCTCTGATTCCTGTGCACTGACTCRCAATTTCATGTAATTCAAGACCATGTGAACGTRGAGTATTCCTTTCCTCCTAATGACCGTTCACCTCTTAAATTGTACTGTAAGCAGATGAATTGTTAGGCAAGAGTGAAGSCCCTGCACTTTCTGCTGCCTGTGCCCAGCAGCTGTGGCACTGCAGCAAATATTTGTGAAGACTTCAGTATCCAAACAAGTGTTGACAGATTTTCCATCTGCAGGACATCATTTGTGCCAGCGGACAAGCTCCGGTGCCAGGGGAATCCTGCTTGCAGTAGGGAAGTGAATCCTACAGAGCAAGGCCAAAGGAGAAAGTGTTCATTGAGCAGTGAGYTCCCCTACTTAGTGTGGTCTAAGTAGAGCAAGAACAGTGCTGATATTGGCTGCTATCAATAGGAACGYGTGTCCTGAACCACGGGCGCATCCRCTAACACAGGCTGGCTCTGCTGGAGGCAAATTCCCTCTCAACAGAAGATTTCCCCAGGTTTATAGGTGATTTTCTCCACTCAACTACAGCTGCAAATTCTGTATCTTCTCCCACTCTAAACAGCCCTAGGATCTCTCCTTATATTTTTGTTCAACTGCATTGTGTTCAAATGGTTCAGTTCCTCTGAGTAGTGAAGTCACCATCAGCTCCTCCTGTTTCCCTAAAAAAAATAACAGGATCTTATCAGCTCTGCATATGGAGATTTCCTGGCCCTGGTGCTGTAATTTGAACATAGAGATAAGAAGTATCTCTCTTCAGCTCAGATGAACARTTTTTACCAGCCTTAAAACACATGTCTTAGAGATCTATGTATCAGTAATTAGGGGTACATGAGGCTATATAGGATGGCTTTACTCATGCACCTGGACATCTCAGCCTTGATGACCAAGGCCTTAAAAGGGAGCAAGAAAACACCAATGATTAGGTACCTTTATCTCATTCTTCCAAGACATTTAATTGGTATGTCTACTGTTTTGCTCATGCTAAACTGTTTCCTCATCCCTTCTTCCTTTATAGACCTCAAATTAAGTGCTAATTTCAGAATTCATATTTTTCATGTGAATTTATGGAGGAGCTCCTTGCTCCAGCGCCTTCCTCTCTCCTCACACATGCAACGGCACCTGCTGCGATGGCACTTGGGCAGGTGACATTTTTCGCGCTCTTCCCAGCATCCTGTCCCTGCTCCCCTTCTGCAGAGGTAACCAAGTACCGACCAGCACTAACTAGCGAGGGTCCAACAGTGCAAGATGCAAA